TATTTATATATTATATATTTAAAACGTAAGTCCTGCAATTCTCTTCCCAAGAAATCAAAAGGACTTAAAAAAATTCTAAGATTTTAAAGATAATTCTGAAGAGAAAAACAGAAAATTGTGTGTTTGTGTTTGTGGGCAATGGGAGGGGAGAAAGGACAAGAGATGGCACAATGACTTCTAACCTTGATAGTTCACTGGTTCTCCAATTACCTACATCCCCCACTGGGATTTTTTTTCTCAAGCTCAATTTGACTTCTCTCTCTGCCCACTGACCTCTTCCATTTTGCCAGTGACATCCCTGCCCCCTCTGTAAAAATAGCTTTCACTCTAGTTATTCACAGGCACACAATGCCTCTTACATTTGACTCCCTGCTCTGTCTCTTTAATCCTATAATCCAGTGCACTCTCAGGTTTTAATTTTTAATGCTTCCCCAAATTTATTGTTTTATTTTCAGTGTCACTGCCATCATAATAATCATTAAGAAAAACTAATAAGTGCCAGCTAATATTTGCCATATGCCTGAGCCTGGTTCAGCATGAGACAAAGATTTTTTTATACATGCAGGTTCAGCCCCACCCTGTTCCTGACATATTTTTGATATGGGCAGAGAGTTTATTAAGTATTTCCATAATTAGCTCTTTGACCTAGTTTCCTTTTTGAAAGACCTGGAATCCCAGTGCCTAGGATAAGCTCTCAGGAACTATAACTTACTGGGAATACTGTTTCCCCTTTAACAACAGGGTTTCTACACTGAATTCTAACTAGCACACACTGCCTCCCCCATGAACTGTGGCTCTTTTTTGAAAATGGGGTCCTAAAATTATACATAACTTTGTTATAGGAATACTGAATCATGTTCCCCTGATTGATGGGGTCCTGATCCCATAGCCTAAGGACACTGGGTACCTACACCATCTAGAAAACCTTGTTATGACCCACCCTCTGAAACTGAGCCTCTTACATTCTACCATCATATCCTTTTATACCCATGACATTGATCATATAGATTGCTGGCCATCTCTCCCTGTGGATGGTCCTACAGAAGGACCAATAGCCCCAGGTTACATGATCCTGGCTTCCTGCCATTCTTAGCTTCCTACCAAATATTATGAAGTCCAGCTCTTCTGATCTAGGTCATTCTTAATCATTATTTCATTTAATTAAAATAATCAGTGAAATAGAACTCATTATTCCCATTTGCTGAGAATTTTAGAACTCAGGAAGTACATTGTAGGACCTATTCCATGTCACAGGGCTGTGCAGTGACAGAGATTCATACCCAGAGCTTCCTATTTCCAACCTCATATTATCTGCACATGAGGTTATTATCTTTTTCCGTGTTTTATAAGGACAAACGCAAGAGATTTATAACTATAGGATGCAAACCATCCCATACATTATTATAAGAATATTCTTCCTAAATCCTCATGGACATCATATAAATCCCAGGCTCTTGTCTTCCATGTTTTCCTGATTATTTTTAAAATGAGTGCTAATTCCCCATTCAAGGATGTGAAGGTCTCTGTAATGAGTCCAGACTACCTGTCGACATGTATCCTTCAAACCCCTCAGCACAGGTTGTTCTTGAAGTTCCTTTTTTTAAATTATATCTACTCCAATTACTAGAGTCCAGTTCAAATCCCATGAAAAGGTTTCTATAACTTTATGTAACCAAACCAATCCTCTTTACGTCAATTTATATGCCACATTGACATTTAACAAAATTCCATTCTAAGATTGTTTTTTATCCCATGGGGTGACTCACTAAAATTTCCCTCCTCTAAATCCCCATATTACCTAATAAATTTTGCAGGGGATATTCCAAACATCTCATCATCACTATTTTAAACCCTGTTGCAGTATAGAGTTTGACTTATTTAAGTATGTGTTCCTTCTTCCATGCCTAACACAATGCCTTAAAAAAAAGGAGGGTTTATTAATTTATTAATTTATTAAATGAGTTCAATGAAAAACTAAGTTGAGGAAAGAAGGGAGAAATAAAAGAAATATTCTGAATAGTATCTACTTGAGATGGTAATGAATTATAAACCTTCATAGAGCTAGTTATAATAAAAAATTATGCCAATATTCCAAAGAATGTTACATATCATGTCTGCCTGAAGAGCAATCTAAAAATGTTGAAACAGTACACTTTCTAAAAAATTAAAATAGAATGCTTAAACGATTTTTTTGAATCAAATAAGTTTTTTAAAAAGATATTAAATTGTTAATATGCAGCATATTCATAACAAAGGTCTTTTTCCATCTCTTGATTTTTAAGTTGTGAAAGAACTACTACAGTGTTTATTCCTTTTAACTGCATTGAAGAAAGTCTTCAAAACTGAAACTACTGTCTTTGCTGATTAAAAATTAATTCTTGACACACAATATCTCAACAATATATGACATCTTGGTCTTTAAGGGCACAAGTCCATCCAAGTCACTGGATTTGGGGGATCAGAACAAAAAATAAAGAAAACTTGTATGAATTTTTTTCAAAGATCAACTTCAAGTAAGTTAACATTCTGACAGTTTAGGAGACCAGATGTATTTAAATAATATCCAGCAGGAAAAAGAATTTATCCATGAATTTAGCTAATATTCTGCCTTCATAGTGACATCTGAAAAACCTAAGTTTTATGATTTTTTTCCATTTGTTTAGCTTTATGTAAATATATTTCATAGTACAATTTCATCTATTATCTTGATAAGCCATAAAGAATAAAGGGATATCTTCTTCTCTTTGTCCTTATCCTGTGATAAATGTGCTATATTATTCTAAATATCAAATAAATATTTTTAAATAATATGTGACTATAAAATATAATTCAAATTTAGGCAGAATTCTACTTTTGTATATTATTAAAGGTGAACCAATCTCTTCCCTTGAAAAGAGATGAAGTATTTGAATTGCTTCAAATTTCTACATAGTGGATGAAAATCCCAAGGTTTCATAACACTAATTAAAAAAAAAATATCAACCATTGCTGAGATCTAGGTTGGTTATAAAAGTTATAATGACTCCTTTTTCCACCTACCACCTTTGCCAGGTATTGCCAGCGATTTCCCCAGAGGCAGGCTGTCCTATGGACGTGGTATTCCTCTTTTGGGGACAAAATAGCTAGTATTTAACTATGTTAACATGAAACTTTGTTGGCAGTGTACCTAGAATAATGCAAATCTTTCCAGTTTCCTGCTAATTATTTTAGCACAACTTATTCAAGCTAATGTTTATCAAGAACTTCAATCCAGCAGGACTGTATTATACTTAGAAATTACCTTCTGAAGTTTCCTCAATACAAACAGAAAAACGCAATTTAACAAATAAACATTTTGTTTATTTTTATTTTTTTTATTTATTTCTTTGTTTTTTGGTACTGGGGATTGAACACAGGAGTGCTTAATCAGTCACTGAGCCACATCCCCGGCCTTTTTTATTTTTATTTTGGGACGGGATCTAGCTAAATTGCTTAGGGCCTCCCTAAATTGTTGAGGATGCCTTTGAACTCACAATCCTCCTGCCTTGGCCTCCAGAGCTGCTGGGATTATAGGCTTGCGACCTCCTTGCCCAGCACAAATAGACAAAAATAAAAAATAAAAAATTTCCTCTGGTAGTCAACTATTAATCTATTACAGGGAAAAATCTATAGTTATAACCCATAAAAGTAGGGTTTGGAAAAGCTAGTCGGTCATCTGGAGAATTCTAAATTAAACCTTTTATGTAGAGAAAAAAAGATTTCAAAGGGAATAACCCAGAGAAATCTTTTTTCCTTCCCAGTATAATTATAAAAATAATTGCAAATCCTCAAGTACAATAAAATTCTATTAAACATACAACCCACTGACCTTTTTGTTGAGGGGGTCAAATTATCCTCCCTTTTTGCATTATCTCTTTTCCTGTATTTATATTGTTTCTGTTGATATTTACCCTGAATCCAACTATGAAATTATTTACTAATTTTTTCTACAAACCAAACACAATATTATATAAATAAACTCCTAAACTAATTATATCTCTGTTCCATTCTGCATTTACATTTGGTTTGTCCACTGACATGAGATTGAACCAAATTCTGTTTCCTCTAAAAAGGTCATTTAAAAAAAAATACATGCTACTAAAACAAAAACCAATAAATTTCTGTGTTTCTAAAAAACATGATCTTTAAGAGAAATTTTAAATGCCAGAACCAAATGTTAGACACTTTTTCTTTCCTTTTACAAATGCCTAAAGATTAAAGGAAAAGCTTTTGCTTAGGGAATATATATTATTCACTTCCATTTTAGGATGGTGTTTACCAAAATATCATAAATACTTAATAGCAACTTTCCCTAGTGCTTCTAGCAAAAGGCAGTAAAACGAAACATAAACCTCAGCTGTGAAAACCCAGGATCTTCGTGGTGCATTTCATCACTCCCTTCCCATACGCTGTCGAGGAGAGCCCGGATCCTAACCACCACCAGAGCAGCTCAACTGAATCCCAAACAGAAATATTATGTGCTCTAGGGAGACGATTCATCATTTAAATGGAAAGAACAACAACTGCAGTCAAATACTCAGCCACTGGTTCAAGATGCCTGACATACAGCTAAGAAATGCTATAGTTGGAAGGCAGAGTAATCACACATTCCAATCCAAATTTTTCATTTTACATTTGTCCTATAAAGTCTATCTAAAAGAAAGAAAGAAAAAAAAAACTCGAGATAGCAAGACGGTTAACTCCATGCTTAAAAAGGGTAGAAGTGTCTAAAACAGAGATCACAGGCTGGGGTTCTCAGAGCCCAACCATGCAAGAATTAGTGTCAAATCTCACTTGCAAACAAATCCAGATTTTTAGAATTACACTGTGGAAGAGTGGAAGAGCAAGCAAATCTCTTTCTTATGCTCTTTCTTCTCCATAATGGCCACCTGCACTAGACACTAAGATTATTTCTTATTAGTTTAAAATGTATGTACAATGATCAGTCCTTCCTGCCCATCTCCCTCCAGAGACAGACTCACAGAATTGATGATTCCTTTAAGAGCCTGAAATCCACCTTTGACAGGGAAAACTTGTTCCTTGGAATCGGCAATTCTTTCGAGCTTTAGAAAAAAAGAGAAAAGCTTACTTAAGAGATGGTTGAGACAGACAATTCTTTATAAACTTATGTTAAACTTACATGTAAATTTTAAGTTTTAGTTATGTATGTCTGAAAAGTTACTCTTCAGGATTCATTCACCAGTGTGGCCTGTAAACTGAAGGTGATAAGATTTGTGTTCCTCCAAATGTATGAAATAACTGAGGTCAGTCTCAGCCCCGTGACACAGCCTCAAGTTGCAATTTTACAACAACACAGAGTTCTAACAGCTGTTAATGGCAGGAGACTCAGGAATCTAAGCTATACTCAAGCAAGAATTTGAATGTAAAATGATTTTGTGAGGAAAAAAAAATGTAGTACCTAAACCCTCAAAAAAAACTTCTTGAAAAAAAATTAGTTTTTTAAGAAAAATTATTAAAGATTTTCAAATGGAATTTCCAAATTCCTGCACCCCTAAGAGTCAAAATTTAAACCAAAATAATAATTATAAATAAGACTAATAATCTTGTCATTTTAATTGAAGGGATATTCACATAATTTTAGTACAAATGTTTGTCTTGTATTATTTCCTCCAACCAAATAATGTTCAAATACTTATTTAGAATTTTGTTTTCAGTAACAAAACCTATCAAAATTCTGACATTATGAAGGCAGCACTCAAGACATAAACCATTTTACAAAAAACCTTTGTAAGAAGTCATTAGTGAAAAAAATTTGTTCCCCTATCCTTAAGGAATTATGGGATTTAAATTTTGCAGAACTGTTTTAACTCACCTGAGCTTGTTCAAAATCAAGGACACCAACGCAATAAACATTAGCACCAAGTGACCTGGATATCTTTGCCTAAGGAGGAAAAAAATGAGGAATAGAGAGGAGAGGAAAGAGGGAGGGGGAGAGACAGAGACAGAGAGATACAGAGTTACTCAATATCCATCTACACATGCAGAAACACACAGCCAGGCACAGCAGTGGGGTGTAAAGAACAGTTTCAGTTCAATACTCACCTCTTTCTCCGCATATGATGGCACCAGACCGTCCAACTTACCATCTGTCAGAGCAATTATGATACTGGAGGTTTTTGAGCCTCCTGCTTTCTGAATTTGTTCATTCGCCTGAAAATGAAGAATAATTATCCAACTCACATTTTAATTTTAACTTTTAACCAGTATGTTCCATCAAGCTAAATTTGTAAGTCTGACAAAGTAAAAATATTACTGACTAGCGCATAAAGGAGGATATTGTAACTATTTTATTTGAAATATATACATATTCACATTAAAGAGTAGTTAGTATTGGGTTTAAATGACAAAGGTTTTTAGTTATAGGTGAATAATCTGAATTATGACCACAAAAGAAAATGGGAAATTCCTTAATAGACAAAATGCATCCAAACTTTTCTTATCACTACAGTAAATAATGCTTTCTCCCAGACTCATCTCTAGAATAACTAAAAGCATTTTAAAGATAAGTATGTAACAGTTTTTTGAGCCTTGCTAGATAATTGTATTTCATTACAGAATAAGAAAGCATTCTCTTCCATAGATTCAAGTGTGAAGTGACTTACTAGCTTTAGTCCTTCATGGATATATGTCTCTCCCACTGGACTAACACTTTTTAAATCTTCCAAACCTTTATTGATTTTGTCTCTGGAAAAAAATGTATTATAATATTAAACAATGCAAAAATGAGCAAACGCCACAATAAATACTTCTTGAATAACATGAAAGTACTGCAACTAGGCTTCTGCAGTAAGAAGTAGAGGAATGGACATGGGCTTTGCAAACAGAGAGCACTTCATGCTGTCATTTCAGTAAGCATTTAATAATTTTCATTTTTTAACCATGAAAAGTTAAAGTACTAAAAATATCCTGAAAAATATCTGAGTATATCTTGGGCATTTTGAGCTAAGAACAGATACCTTCAATCATGTTTGTTTTATTAAATGCTAAGGAGTAAAAGATGCTTTCTATCACCCACAAAAATACAAGGATTAAATAGTTCAACTTCAGTGGAAAAAAATATTTCTGAAACACTCACCCCACCTCCCTGAAAGTGGGGAAACCTCTTTATTATCTGAAAATTCCTAAAACACATTACTTAGCCCTTACATATGGAAATTAACATTTTTCTACTTCAATGTCCCAGTCTTAAGTCTCATAATTTATTAGCTTTTCTGGCAGCTTTTTGCACATTCATATACCATCACATTCTCTTGGATATAATAAGTACTTAATATATACTTAATGAATGAATGAATGAATGAGAAGGTAATGGATTCTTGGGAGAGGCAATATGAATGAAAAAGATGAAAAAACAAAGAATAACCTTTTTATCATGACTAATTCACTGTCTCAATGGAGTATGTCGAAACAAGTATGACTACAATATTATTAAGAACTATCTCATATACATGAGTAAAAGAAAACCCAATTTGAGGGTTTTTCAAATATAAATTTTAAACTCCTTTAAAAATAGATAAAACCATAAGAAGAGATAAATAAATGATGATGTAAAAACTATCCAAAATAAATTTAAAACTTCTTTTTCAAGTTTAAATTCAAAAGATCAGAAGAGCGCTTACAATACCATTCTCCATTCTAAGAATTTTAGTTTTCCAATAGAAGCAAAAAAAAAAAAAAAGAATTCCTTTTAAATTCTTGAATTGGTAAACCCAATTTTATCTCATTGAATATAATATGAATAGTTTTCACTTTACTGAGGATGATACAGAGGGAGATTAATAGAAAACAAAATCATTTTATCATCAAAGAATGACTGGAGTCAAGGAATGGAACTACTATATGACCCAGCTTTATCACTCCTCAGTATTTATCCTAAAGAATTAAAGTCACCACACTATAGCAATACATGCAAACCCATGTTTACAGCAACACAATCCACAATAGCCAAATTATAGAACTAGGCAAGGTATCCATCAACAGATGAATGTATGAAGAAAATGTGGTATTTATACACAATAGAGTTCTATTCATTCATAAAGAAAAATGAAATTATGTCATTTGCAGGAAAATGGATGGAACTTGAGACCATTATGTTGAGTAAAATCAGCCAAACTTAGAGGTCAGGGTCATGTGTTTTCTCTCATATGTGGAAGTTAGAGAGGCAAAAAAAAAAAAAGAAGAAGTGGGGTAAAAATCAAAGGGAGATCCTTTGAATAAAGGAACCAGGGGGAGGGAGAAGGGAAGGGATACGGGAAACACTGGGGAATGATACTGGCCAAATTATATTTGCTATATTGCATGCATGTATGAGTATGTAACAATAAATCCCACCATTATGTACAATTATAACGCACCAATAAAAAATGTGGGAAAAAAGAATGACTGGAGTCAGACACACAAATGGTCTCTTTAAAACATTGTACTTTAAAATAATTTAACTAATTGCATTAATTAGAATTAATTTAATGTTTTCACTTCTCAACTAGAATAAAAGTTTACAATGTTCCATCCCCATATCTTTTATTTATGATGTATTTTTCTGCTCTCCACACATTACTTATTATAATGTCTTTTGTAAAGTCCATGCTCAATAAATTTTTCAATCAACCACTGAAAAAAATTAGTAATTCCACAGATAATAGAGTAATCTGCATAATGTATAAGGTTGTTTTATCTAAATATTTATGTTTGGTATATATGGAAACAACTCGAAACTGATTTTGTCTAAATGCAGATAAATACCAAATATTTGGGGCTTCCCAGAAATGAGTGGCAGTGTGTCCTCAAGCATTGATGTTTGCTGCCAAAAGGGAAATGAAAAAGACAACTGAAATACAAGTTTACACAAACAGAATGTGCCTGGTGAAAATAGCCTTCTCCATTCAGTTCAGATCAGCTCACAATTGGAAGGACCAGCATAAGACTCTTGAGAGGGTAGAACTTGCTGAATATGGTCTTCAGAGACTTTTGGAAAGGTGGACTACACTGCAGTGGTCTAGGACTCTTAATCTAGTTAAGTAGAGAAAAGCAAATTGATGTAATAGTTTAAAACAAAACTCATCCATCCACATTATAATGTTAAAGAAGACTCCACAGAAGAGCAAAGAAAAAATAAAGGAGGAGAAGGAGGGAGGAGGGAGAATGGGGAAAGGAAGAAGTGGTTATGTCACAAAGATAAGATCAAGTTCAGCATCATCTTAGAAGATCTGCTTCACTAAGTTTTGCTTTAACGTTAGGTCTTCAACCTCCAGGGACAGCAATATTGAAACTACTTCAGTATTTGTTGTGAAACTGTTGTCAAGGATACTGCTATCATGATGTGCAACTGTCCCCTATGAGGTCTCACAGCAGAAGCTTCTTTATCACCCCTCAGTAATTGCTGCACACTTCCTCCTTTCTGCTATTTACAACTATGTAAATGTTTTTCTTGCCCTGACTACAGGAAAGCCCACAGTGAGTTTCTTATTCACAAAATTCTAAGTTCTAATAGTTATCAAATTGCTTCAGCTTTTTTTCCAAAACCTTTTCTTTTAATAATTTATTAATTTTCTGTATTATTGCAGCATCAAATGCTTTTTGTAAACAGGTAGAATTTAAACAAATAAAATGTTTTTAAATTGAGAATTAGAGAACCAAACTCTATAATCCACTGGAGAAGGAGGGAGTTGCGGGGGCATGAAAGAGGGAGGGCAACCAAACAATGCCTGGTTTTTCATTGGTGAAGCTTTCAGCTTTGTATCTGTCAAATTTCTCTGCTGAGATGGAGGGGAGGAGAGGGGAGAGGTGGGGAGGTAAGGGTCCTCAGAATATTCTAATGTATTGCAAGAATTAAGAACCTCTGATCTGCTGGTGAGGTGCTGCACGCCTGCAATCCCAGCAACTTGGAAGGCTGAGGCAGGAGGATCTCAATTTGGAGACCAGCCTCAGTTACTCAGAAAGACCCTGCCTCAGAAAAGGGCAGGGGGGGGGGGGCGGACTGGAGATGTCAGGGAATGTGGCTCACTTCACTGGTTAAGTGCTGTTGGGTTTAATCATGGTACACCCCCCGCAAAAAAAGAACCTCTGATCTAATCTAATTGGAAAAGCTTCCCACGTTGTTGGGATATTTGTTCTCTTGCCTATTTTAACAGTCAGTTCTATTCAAGGGGTTTGGGGTAAACATGATGATCTTTTAAACTATAAATACCCTTTCTGGGATGATATGAATCAAGAGGAGCACAGTCTGGTAGAACGTGTGTTAATTCTAAGATCAACTTTGTTTCTTCAGCTATAAAATAGGGACTAAAAATACCTTCCCTATGGGAACACTGTGAGAATTAATGGCACATAATAAGCACTAAGCTGTAGCTACTAGTGTTATTGTTGATGTTGGGCATTCCTCTGTCAGTATGATTTTGTTCATTCAGTTGACTTTCTTCCTGCTTCCAAACAAAGATCATACAGCAAACTGACGGTCAAAATTTTATCATGCAGGAATCAAAAAAAAAAAGGAGAGGAAAGAAAAAATTAAGAGAGGAAAGAAAAAGCTTTGGTGAGAGGAAGATCTTGAAAAGGAATTCCAGTCAGCCCTCCATATCCACAGGTATCAGCAGATTTAATCAATTGCAGACCAAAACATTTTTTAATTCATCTTCACTAAACACATGTATAGACTTTTTTCTTCTAATTATTCCCAAACCACTACATTATAACAACAATTTACATAGTGCAATAATGTATCCAATTGTGTAAGTAATCTAGAGGTGATTGAAGGCATATGGGAGGATACAAATAGGTTATTTGCAAATACTACAGTGTTATATAAGAGATTTGAGTATCCATAGATTTTTTTTGGTATCTGTGGTTGTCCTGGAACCAAGTCTTCACAGATACCAAGGGATGACTGTATGTGGAAAGCTATATAATGAGATAGGAACACTTGGGGATTGACATAAAGAGATGGACTTGTGACCATATGGATTTGTAACCATAAACAGTTATTAAATTCCTCTGATCTTGGTTGTCTCTATAAAATGTAAATTACAATGCCTGACCCGATATTGTTTCACTAATTCTATAGATATCTGTTACATGTTCACTATGATATTTATAATATAATGCCATCTGGCATCTTTGAGGATTTGGAAGGTTGTGTGCACCTAGACAAAGAGTATTAGGACAGAGAGAAGAGGAGAAAAGAGTAAGTAGTGACAGGAACACACCCTTTTCATCTGCATTTCTCCTTCACAATACCATTCTGCTCCCCTAGAAAGCCTGTAAATAGTGGCAGGCTGGATTTGAGGTGACAGGTCAGTACAATGGACAAGATCTCAGGTCCTAGAAGCAGACTGCTTGGTTTCAAAATCCAGCTCCTCCACTTACAAGGATATGTGAGCCTGGGCAGCTTATCCAAACTTTATTTTTCAGTTGCCTCATTGATAAGAAAAGGCAATGCTGTGCTGACACCATGGAGCTATTGTGAAAATCAAATAAATTCATACACGTAAGGTGTCTGGCACAAAGTCAGTGCTCACACATAGTAGTTACTATTCTCTTATCATATGGTGTATCAGGGACAGAGTGAAATCATCTTCCATCTGACCCTAATGCTTCATTATGCTACTACTCTGCATTAAACAACAAACACATCACACAGGTCAAGCCTGGGAACTTGGCCTCAGTTCACAGTTCTGGCACTTAACTTA